ATTTGATCATGGTTTCGATCGGTTAGGGTTAGACAATCACACATTTATCACAACGATTACTCATGGTTTCGATAGGTTATGGTTACACTTGATTGATCATGGTTTCGACAGGTTATGGTTACACAATCACACAATTATCACAAGGGAAGAGGAGAGAGTGGAAAAGAACGTGCAGGAAAAAAAGGGATAATTATGATTAATTAAAATAAAATAAAAATTATAGAATTAATTAATTACATTACTGCCCTTATTAATTTATTTATATTTAATATAAGTTAATTTATTAATTAAAAAAGTTTGAGGTTATTAGATTGTTCTCGCATTCTCGTAAATCACAGGGGTTCTCGTTTGAACCTCCACCTTGTTATATATATATATATATATATATATATATATAAATTTATTAATTACCAAAAATTTGAAGAAAAAAAAATATTTTTTTTGTAAAGGACCGGCCGTAACCGGTTATGGGACCGGGACCGGACGGCTTAACCGGTTACCGGTAAGTTTGACCGGTTATAGAGGATTTCACCGGAACCGGGACCGGTTATGGAGGGACCGATTATGGAACGTTTTTGTTTTGATCGAGACCGGCCGTAACCGGTTATGACCCGGCCCGGGACCGATTTTTGGCCACCTCTAATCCAAACGGTTAACATAATTATCCGGTCTCATCTGACAGACCCGATCTGTTGTTCTTATAAAACTAAACTTACAAGTTATCAAAAAAAATTAAGGTGTTAGAAAGCTCAAACTTTGACTTCAAGATTCATAGTTGACTTCGCATGCCAAAATTCAAGATAATTACAGAAATCGCTAGTCAACGAAAGTCAACACTCGGAAGCAGGTTGAATTTGCTTCAGTTTCCTAACAACTTGCCTCATGGTTGGTCTCATGGCGACCGACTCCGCCGTGCACTGCAGCCCCAGATGCAGCAACTCCACAAGAATATCCTCCGCACCCGCCTCCCATAATCCGGCCGCAAAAACCTCCTGCGCCCGCCCCTCTTGCCGGAGCATTACCGCCCACGACACGATGGTGTAACCGTTCTCCTGACTTGAAAACGACGAATCCAAAGCTCTTTTGTCGGAAATTAGCTCGAGAAGCATTACTCCGTAGCTGTACACATCCGCCTTCTCGGAGGCGTGACACGTCAATGCGTATTCCGGCGCCACATAGCCGAACGTTCCGGCGACACCGGTGGTCACGTGAGTCTCGAAATCGTCCAGAAGACGAGCTAACCCGAAATCCGACAAGTAAGCGTTGAAATCTTCGTCTAACAGGATGTTGCTCGGCTTAACGTCTCGATGGAGGATCCGAGGCTTACATTGATCGTGAAGGAAATAAAGGGCGTTGGCGACATCTAGGGCAATTTTGTGAAGAATCTTGAATCCGATAACCCGAATGGATCTTTCTAGAATAAACTTTTCTAAGTTACCACCGGCGAGATAGTTGTAAACAAGAAACATTTCCGACGAACTAGCGTAATACCCGATCAACGTTACAAGGTTCGGATGTCGGATCCTTCCAAGACTCCGGATTTCCGCATTGAATTGCGGAAGCCCTTGGCACATTTCAATTGTGAGCCTCTTTACGGCAACAGTGGTTCCCGGAGAGATTTCGGCCCGGTAAGTCGATCCGAAACCGCCACTCCCGATACAGTTTCTTGAGGTAAAGTTGCCGGTGGCTTGAACGACACTGTCTAATGTCAATTCTACCCCTATCTCCTTGAAAACCACCAGTGGTTCCGGTTGACCAGAAGACCGAGGAGGCGGCGGGGGGCGGGATGACATTCCGGCAGCCGCCGAGCTTCCAGAAACCGCCGAGTTTGGTTTCCGCTTCCTCAGGTAAAGATACACGATAATGAGCGCAATGAGAATGATGACGATAACTGATGGAACTATAATCAATACGAGCTCAAAAGAACTCATACCCTTTTTCCCTCCATTAGAATTCGATGAAACCGTACTGTTTAGTGACTCGAGACCCACGGCCCATGGTTCTTGTGTTGGCACAGATGACAAACTAACAAATTGGCAACGACGAAGTAACGGGTTACCGATCAAGCGGTTACAGTTTATTGCATCACGATCCATGGCTATCGATCCTGATAAGTTATTGAACGAGAAGTTGAACTTAAAACCGGATTTCAAATCCAAACGACCCAAAGGTACTTCCCCAGATAACTGGTTGTTGTTGAGAAGAAGAACCGTTAGGTTTCTAAGATTAACAAGACTCACAGGAATCTGACCAGAAATCTGGTTCTTCGATGCATCCAAGAACTTGAGACATTTCCAATTTACACCAACATTCGTCGGAATTTCACCCGATATGATGTTGTTGCTCACATTTATGAAAAGCCCGTTCAAATTGTTGCAGATTTTTGACAGATTTCCGTGAAATAAACCCCCAGAAAGCATGTTTCCACCGGCTAGGAATGCATAATCAATCCCTGTTCTACCGAGTGATGTGAATTCAGATATCATAGGAAACAGTGGGATTGAGCCTGTGAAATTATTGTCACTAAAATCATGGATCATGGCACGCGTAAATCGGGAAAACGGAAGATGGTTTTCTAGCCGAGATTTATGAGCAAAATAGGATAGATACACAGTTTCATGATCAAATCGATGCAGAGAGTTCAAACCACAAAAAGGGGCGATCGTGAATTCGGGAATGGATCCAAACATGAGATTTCTGCTAACATCAAACATTGTCATACTTCCAAGATGAAGTTTTTCATCAAGAACTCCACTGATCCTATTAGAGCTCACATTCAGAAAACGCAGATTTGGGCAATTCTCAAAAACACCTGAGATTTCTCCTTTCAAATGATTACCAGCAAGATTCACCATTCTTAAAGCTTGACAATCACCCCAGTTCCTTGGAAACTCGCCATCAAGATTTGCATTTGGTGCCCAAATTAGCTTCAAATTTGGTAGCATCGCGACTTGCAGAGGAACTGAGCTTTCAAAAAAGTTACCATCTTTGATCGAACCGTCTCGATGATGATCACTGAAGTCGGTTGATAAAACAAGAATCGATAAATTCAAACAGTTCCCGATGCTCGTGGGGATGATGCCGCCTAGGTTGTTTCTAGAAACATCTAGAATCTCGAGCATTCGAAGGTTTCCAAGCTCGAAAGGAAGATTACCTGAAAAACTATTTGAAAAGAGCAACATTGTTCTCAACTTGCTGCAGTTTCCGAAGCTTTTCGGGATCTTACCATTCAAGAAATTGCTGGAAAGATCAACATGCTCAAGAACATGACAATTACTCCAAAATCCATCCATTAATGATCCCATAAATCGATTTAACGACAGATTGATACCTTTTAATTTCACAAAATTACCAAGAAAAGCAGGAACAATCCCTTCGATTCGGTTTCCAGCAAGATTCAAGACGCTTAAATCTTGGCAGTCTGAAAGTGAATTAGGGATTTCCCCAAATAATCTATTGAACCCTAGATTAAGAACTTTCAAATTCTTCAAATGGGTGAAATCAATCATAGATAAATTTGCAGTCATCGAATTCCCTTCAACGTCAATTACTTCAAGATTCTTTAACCCCCAAATCCCAGTAGGCAATTCACCCCCAATTTGATTAAATGGAAGTGAAAGAACCATAAGTTCTGAAAATTTCCCAATTACATTCGACAATTTCCCACCCAAAGATTTCCCTTTCTTGAACGAAGAACAATCCCTAACAATCCCAAAACCATGCAATGCAAGATCAGAATACTTGCTACTGAAACAAGAACCAGATTTAGCAAAATTACCTCCTGGCAGCCTCAATTCAGAAACCCTGCCATGTAAGTTGCACGTGATTCCGAACCAAGAACAGTGATTTGGGTTTGTGGATTTCCAGGTTGAGAGCAGGTTGTGAGGGTCAACAATGGCGTTCTTTAACTCCAGAAGTTGACTCTTCTCTGAAAGGTCAACAGCTTCTCCAGAAATCAAACAGAGTGACAACGAGATGAGAACCAGTCCTCCCATTGCAGATACACCCAACATTTCTTTTTCCTTGTGTTGATAAAGATCAAGAAAATCAAAACCCCAGAAGCAAAAACAGAGGGGTTTCCTGATTCGGATACAAGAAATTTAAAGAAAGTTCATGAAGATTTCAATTTCAGTGAAATTAAGGAGAAAGATTCATGGGTTTGATAGTTTGATTTGTTGTATCAAAATCCCAGAACCGAAAACAGAGAGAATTTCCTGATTTGGGTGCAAGAAATTAATGGAAGTTGGTAAAGATTTTCAAGTAAGGATAAAGATTCCTGGGTTTTGTGTAGTCATTTACTCTAATCGGCGGGTCGTGGTTGACAGTCAACATTTCTGACTATTAGCTAGTCAACATGGCGGCCAAGTGTTGGTGGATGAAGAAGACTAGCGTCTAGAACCCGTATTAATGACGGTTGACAGGTCATCAGTCCATGTGGGTTTGTGAAAGTGACGTGGACTGTTGTGAGACCACCGACTGGTTTTCTGAACGTTGTAGACTTTTGATTTCAGCTTCAAGCTTCAGCTTCAGCTTCAAGCTTCAGCAAATATATACTATTTTATGAATGATTGATGCGACAGGTCGCGAGAGTAAACAAGATGTGAGCCCATTTCTTATTTCTTGAAAATTGATATCTATTTTCGTGGTTTAAATTTAGAAATTGTTATAATTTTTTTATAATACAATGAGATATATTTCGATTTTAATTTTTTTTATAATACGATTTTGTATAGTTTGAGAAAATGATAACATTTTTCAATTTAAATAAAATATAAATTTGAAGACCCATAAAAAAATTTATCGGTATTAGTATCGAATTAACAATATAAAAGTTTTTTTTTTATTTTTTTATATAATTTTTTTGGTTCAATTTGTTAGCATAATTTAATTTAGGTTCAATAAAGAAAGTAATTTATTTTAGGTCTAATAATATAATGTTTTTTATAAATAAATTTTGGGTTCAATTTTTTTCTTATAATTTAATTTATGTTTAATAATGAATTAATTTATTTTAGGTTTAATAATATAGTTTTTTTTATAAAAATAATAATTAAGTATTTTGTTAGAATTTACATATTATTCTAATTATATTTTAGCTTTTTTATACTTAAAATGAGATGTTTATCGTGTATTTTTTGATTATGTTTGTCAGTTAGTTATATGAATTCAAACATATAACTTTAAAAGGTTATATCCATACACCATTTATTTGTAATCTTGAATTTTAATTAATATGAATCATTAATCAATATGTGATACATCAAAAAGAAACTAAGAGTTTTACTTAAATGCTTTATAATATAGTGTGTGCTTGTGTGTGATGTGTGTGTATATATATATATGACTTGTGATCATGTGAGACCAGTCTGTTTTTGTGAGACCCGTGGGAACATCTTTTCACGCTTGAAACTTCACAGTAAAACAATATGAATACAACATTCACAATGTTTTTGCTGTGAAGGTTCAGATTTTTTTTACCTTCACAATGTTTTGTTGTGAAATTTCAAGTGTAAAAATGTGATCTCACGAGTCACACGAAAACATGTTGGTCTCACGTGAACCTCAAAAATCGTTAATGTACAAAATCATATATAAGAACGCTAAGAAAATAAGAAAAAGTTCGTTAATATACAAAATCATACACATTCGAAAACACATCTTACCATGAAGGAAGAGACCCAATTTCCACAGATTGTGGCGCAACACAAAAGTAGACCACATTCCCAATGTTATATAGAGTCACACTATGGATCAATAGTCATTGAGTTCAAGCAATTTTGATCTATAGCTCAAGGCCCCGGATGATCTTAGTTATACTCATTCGCTATAAATTGGTGCATATATCATTCCAATGTACAAGTCCAATCGTTGTAAATAAACATGTTTGATTAAATTTACAATGTTTAAATGATAAAAATATTAAAATTAAAAACACAATGTTGTAATAGAAATTGGTGATGTTATAATAAAATAACTTTAAAAGTACAATGTTATAATAAGAAATGTCATATAAGCACTATCGTATTCGTACTTGCGGACAGCCTACGTGGAAGATGAGGTGGCAAAGAGACTTGATATATTAGGTAAATTTAATTTAAAAAGTTACTCAATGCTATAACGAATAGATTTTTGAAAGTACGATACCCTCATAAAAAATATTTTAAAAAAATATTATAATAAAAATAACTGAAAATACAATATTATAATGAAAAAATTTATAAAAATAAATTACTATCCTATAAATAATATTAATATTATAGAATAGAAGTAGAATGTGTTTATTCATTGAAGGTGTACGAATCCACCAATGCTTGCTTTTCAGTCAAGAGAGGTTGGCTTCGAGTGGAATGAGTATATGCCTCTAAACCGCATCTTTTCTTTATCTTAAAAATATTTATATTCGAGTGGAATGAGTATATGCCTCTAAACCGCATCTTTTCTTTATCTTAAAAATATTTATATTCGAGTGGAATGAGTATATGCCTCTAAACCGCATCTTTTCTTTATCTTAAAAATATTTATAAATAAATAAAATATGTAGTTTTTTTTATAGGAAGGGGGGAGACCCCTTCAGATCAAGATAAAACACTAAAACGTTAAAACAGCAATAATGAAGCGTTCGGGTAGGAGGAAACCTCGACTACCATAATTCAAGGCACTCAGAAAGGAAAGAAAGAGAGTCAACGAAGAAGAAAGACGAGAAGAGTGGGAAAAGGAGAGAAAGAAGAAGGGGAGAAGAAGAGAAGAGGGAAGAGAAAGAGGGAAAGAGAAGAAGAGAGAGAGGAAGAGAGGCAGAGAAAGAAGCCGACCACAAGGGAAGGGACCAGCCAAGCCAAGACCGGGAAATAACGGGGGACACCACAGGGGCAAAATATGTAGTTTTTATAAGTCATGGTTTGTGGGATTGGGTAGGATTTAAAATTGAATTCTATTCTAATCCTGTGTTTGGTTTGAAAAAAAGCGTGGATTTGAAATTCTAGGATTTTAATGAAATCCCACAAAATGATTTAATCGTGCATTCACATTATTTGGATTTGTTTGGTTTAGTTTTAATCGTGCATTCACGTTGTCTTTTAGAAATCTTTTGACCATCAAAATGATGTCGATTTCTAAGTCATAGTCGATACTTTTTGTTGACCATAACTTTTTGCTATCGGTTTCGCTTTGAATATGTCATTTTTACACTTGAACCCACACAAGATATTTAGATAAATGAGATTTTAATTATATTCACGACTTTCTGACAAGTATGAAACCATTTTTCTTTTAACAGGTCAGAAGGTCATGAATTTAATTAGGTTTATATACATAAATGACTTGATCCCCACACATACACACACAAACAAACAAGGTATCTAACCACAAGGGTGGTGCCTGATTGGTTTGAGCTTGACTCCAAAGATCAAAAGTACCGGGAAGTCCCAGGTTCAAATCCAAGGAGGAATAAAAATCCCCACCACGAAGGAGGTTCAAATGCGGCGACTCCAGGCTATCTGCAAAGCAGGTGGTCGCCCTGAGATTAGTCGGCTCGCATAACGGGTTGGATATCCAGGTTAATAAAAAACAAACAAACAGGGTATCTTGCAACAACACTATTCTTTACAAAGATGGTTTCAACATAAAAGAGGCCAACTGAGATTGATTTGTACACTAAAAAAAAAGGGTATGAAGCTAAGATGCCAGGGTTGTAGTTGGGCAACTGCCAATTGTGCAGGCTAATATATCTTTATAATCTCTCGAAATCGAAAAGGAGTCGTAAACTTGACCGTTGCTGCTCTTCTTGTACTCGAACAGAAGGTTAGAATGGTCAAAAGCCGTGAGTTTTAGGAACCCATAATCGACATCTTTCACAAGACTCCAAGTCGTGTTGATGTTGGCAAATTCTGTAAGGCTCGCTCCTCCACCTCCGGCAACTACATGAATTGTCCCGTTTAAGCTTCCCTTGTAAGCGTGCTTCTCGTTGCTCGTGCAAATGTTCTGAATCATAAAAACCATCGAATGGCAAAGACAAATTTTAGCACTTTAATCAGATTTCGTAGTGTGCAAACGAGCAAGAGAAGTTGAGAACCGATTAGATTATAAAAGTTGTATTGCGAGGATACCTCATAAACCGGACAAGTTCTTTCGTAGTTGTGTGCATGACCGTAAATGGCTATATCAACTTTGTACTTTTGCCAGAGCTTTTGAAGGCTTTCTCTCCCCATTGGTTCACCAAATGATCCGTCTGCGGCATAAAATGAAGTTGACGAGTACCCCAAAACACGATGAGCCAGAAAGACGAGCCAAGGTTGTTTCTGTCTATCAACAGATGCCAAACAGTGCTCGATGAACTTATACTGCTCGGTTCCTTCTCTCCAATCGTGTTCTGTGTCAGCAATACAGAATCTAAACATTCCGTAGTCCGTAGAGTACCTTGTAACGATTATATACAGTTTTAAGGACGTGTTTATTTTATTTTTTTAAAGATCAAAGCAAATTAGCGGTTTGATGAGAACATAGCTCACCAGAACTTTGCTCGGTTCTCAGCAGGAACATAAAACATAGTTTCGGCCAAAACACCACATTCTCCTCCTGAATCATTGTTCTCATAAAAAGATCCTGAGTTGGGCCAGTCACGCTCGTGATTACCACTGCAAAATACCATGAACGTAGAACCAGGTAAATACCACTACAACAAAATTGGCTTCATAGGACGCCAAATATGTCTAAATGTAGATTTTTATAGGATTTTAAGTTTATAGGACCATGCTCCCTATGTAAGTGTCCAAAAAAACTTGTTGCGGCATCCGAAAGCGTCCTACCAAATTATTGTAACACATTCTTATAGTGCGTATAATTGTTTAGTCCTATAAAACAATCTATTAGGACATTTAGACATATTTGGCATCCTCTGAAGCAGATTTTGTCGTAGTATACCATGTTTGAATCTTTTGGTTTCCGGTAATTATCATTGTCGTGTGCGTGAGATCATCAATCCTAACAACATACCTAGCAATCATATAAGGAACTGCAGAGGCAATTGGCTCGACTTGCGAAGTAAACTGATCCCATTGCGATAGGTACCCATTGGCGTAACAAATATCTCCAATGTGGAACACTATATCATAGTTCTTCAAGTCTCCGATGAGTTCCTTGGTCGTGTTAAGCGAGCCACGCTGGTAATTATTGTATTCGTTGGACCCATCGGCTTCATCCTACATCATTGAAATGATATCAAGCTTAACTAGAAACACAGTAACCAAATCAAATGAACCTGGTATATACCACACAGAGGTAGGGTTCAGACTGTTTCTGCTTAACTTGAAAAACACTGAACAAAATTTTCAACGAGTCCCACCTTTCCCATGTCACCAAAAATGATTACGCGTTGTAGAGAGTCTTGACCAGGGTACGGAGATGATCTGAACTGGTAAACCCGACTCCAAATAAGCGTATCGTTTAAAAGTTTGTGTCCCAGTTTGTAGGTGTACCTGCATAAAGAAGGTTGATAAAAGGATTTGATATATATTACTCCCTATATCTCTTACTTTTGTTCCACCTATTTTGGTGTTAGTCCCATCCTGTCCTGGTCTAATGTCTTTTTTTTTTTATTAACCTGGATATCCAACCCGCTATGCAAGCCGACTAATCCCAAGACGACCACCTGCTTTGCAGATAGCCCGGAGTCACCGCATTTGAACCTTCGTGGCCACAAGGGGATTTTTATTCCTCCTTGGATTTGAACCTGGGGCCTCCTGGTACTTTTGACCTTTGGAGCCAAGCTCAAACCAATCAGGCACCACCCTTGTGGTTGTCCTGGTCTAATGTTACGCCAAACATGGGACAAGTTTTTGTTCTGTCATGTCCCGTCATGTCCTCTGTATCAAACGAAATTTACATATTTGGTTAATAGTAAATTTTTTCTCTTGTATTGGTTGAATGTATAGGATGGATGGAGTACTCAACTTCTTAGAAGCACTCTGTTCTCGCCACAAACTTTGAAGTGCAACTTATCTAGCAAAGAAACACAAGTATGGGTGTACAGAGAATTGTCAAACCGCTCAACACCGCCCAACTCAACCCGCTAACAACCCAATTAAACCCACCTTGCCAAACTGGCTAAACCGCCAATCAAGAGGATTGAAATTGGCTTAGCATAGCTCAACCCAACCCAACGCCGACCCGCCACTAATATATATAACTTCGATAATACTAATATATTATATATATATATATAATCTATTAATAATGTTTATTTTATATATATATATATATATATATATTACTAATGTGTAAAATTTTATATCATATTTGTCGAGTTTATGTTTGTATTTCTTTTTAGCTATACGTATAGGTTACCAAAACAGATCAACCACCAAAATGATGGCAAAGAATCAAATAAGAGAAATTTATTGGAATCGTTTTTGCAACAACAACTAATGGATGTGCCAAAGAATATGAAAAATGTTGATAGATAATTGGCTGACAAATCTATTAATCTAAAGACTCCCACAGTTGATGTTGTACTTCGGTGGAAAAAAACTGGTAATAGTTATAGCATTTCACTACAACAACATTAGGTTTATAGGACGCCTAAAATGTCTGAAGCGTCCTAATATGATACTTTATAGGACTTAAGTTTATAGCACGAAACAAAAAACCGTCCTATCTAAAAGTGATACAATGTGTTTATAGAATGCTTTTGGGTGTCTTAACAAGTTTTTAGGATGATTTTAATATAAAGTGGCGTATTAGTTATTTTATACAACACTATTTTAAAAAATGTCATATGAACACAGGTGTCCTATAAATAGACGTATAGGACAACTCTCAAAATTGTTCTACAAAATAGCTAATGCAATACTTTATTTATAAAGAGTTCTAAAAAACTTGTTGAAACGCCCAAAAACATTTTATAAACCAATTGTAACACTTTTTAATAGGACGCTTTATAGTTTAGTCCTATAAAGTATTTCATTCGTCAAATTTACGTAACTACTAACCCGCCAACCCAACCCAACCCTAACCCGTCAAATTTTATGAAACAAATATATGTGAAACAATACCTTAAATCCTAGCATTTGATGAAAAAACATGCAAACAAATACTTTGTAATCGGTTCTCACGGGTTTATAACATTTTTGTGGTTCTCATTTGAATTGCATATATATAGGGTTCGGTTCAGGTGAGATGGAAGTTATGGTGAGAAAGGTAAGAAGAGATCTCCACCCTTTGATCAATCCCAATTGAAGATCGACATTAATGCGGTGCACCAAGATGCATCGGATCAATCCCCATGATAAGCGCAATTCATGGGGTGAGGTGAGATTAAAAGTGATCAAGGGTCCAGATCCCTTCATACGTTTCTCACCTTAACTCCTATTCTCACACGAATCATTCGTCTATATATATAAGGATCAAATGCAAACCAAGCCATTTTTACAAACCGTCGATTTCATTGTTTAATTAATGAAATTGTTTCATACAATTCTTTTCTTGATGAAATTGTTTCATATATTTTTGTTTCTATGTAAAAATGAAATTGTTTCATGTATTTCTCATTTTGATGAAATTTGTTTTCTAAAATTAATATAACAAAGATGACAATGTCCGTAATTTACGTCCTCCACAATAAAAATGACTAATCAACCCTCACAATTAAAAAAAGTGAAAAAAAACTTTAATTGGTTGAATAAGGTTTGTACGGTTTGTACAAATGGTCTGGTTTGCATTTGATCCCTCCCCTATATATATATATATATATATATATATATATATATATATATATTTAGAAGGGAAGTTATGGTTTAGGGTTTAGAAATGTTGTAACTAGTTCTAAATGTTGATTTTATCTTAGGGGGACAAAGAGGATATTAAGAATGAGATAAGGACCATTCGAACATACACTGAGTTCGGCCATAATTCCTTCAAGAATCCAGTATGAATGAATCCAGGATCACGCCAACCAACGGTTCGTGCCGGTGCACCTGCATTTACTTGTTTCTTAGAAAAGAAAAGAAAAAATAAATCGGTCCTTCCAACAAAAGTTGATTTTTGAGGATCAAATTAACAAGAATTTGACACTTAAGATTGGTCAAATACCACAAAGACTGTTTCGGTCAATTGTCAGTGTTGCAGCAGGAGAACGCCGCTTATCCTCGCCTCTTCGAGCCCATTCAACAAAAGGTTCTGCTTCATCGACTCCATATCCACTCGTCCATGTTATAGTCATCTAACATACATACAACAACGGTGAATGTATGAGAGGTTGAAAACTATAAGCACCAGCACATGAAATTTGGTCAAGAGTCACGAAATTGTATATTAAGATCTGCATGCATACTTGCACTATGCAGTGACTACTAAACCAAACCAAACCAAATGATCCCAGTATATCCCACCCGAAGGCAGGGTGTGGAGAGGGTAAGATCTATGCAGACCTGACCTCTATCCTAGAAGAGTAGAGCGATTGTTTCCATAAAAAACAAAAATCACCATGTTGATGGAAAAACAAACTTACTTCATTCCACATCTTCCCTTGAGCTAAGCGAGGGTAATTTGGTGCATTTGGATTTGCAAAAGCAACTGAATTCGACACTGCTACAAGCTTTGGCTATTGGATGATGCAATTTCAACCTCATGTTAAGGGATTCGGAATCGAAAGATACAATAAAAGGGGATACCAAAATAACGAAAGCCATAAGCAAACCTTCGATAATCCACCAGTGAACAATGCAAAAGAGAAGTCGGATCTTTGGTTGATCAATTGAAACTTCAATGATGCTTCTCCGGTGTCTTTGTAGTTCGGACTGCTATAATTCGCGTATTTGTACTGAGAAAATAAGTGGGGTTTGGTTTAATTATAGCTTCTTTATATGAATCAATTCAAGGCATGGAGAAATTGCACAGACCTTAACAGGTGCAGTGCACAACAATGGAGGAGTAACCATTGAGCTTTCAGGGAGGCATGTGGAAGCACTGAAAACAGTGAAAATGGATGTTTTTAACAGAATAATCGCATGTCAAATGAGAAAGAACACTCTTTTAAGTTTAGAATACCTGAAATTTGCAGGTGAGAATACTCCAATCCAATCATCAACGGATGGGTTTGGGTTGTGCAACGTTACAGTCAACCATTCGGAGGTTTGCCCCTGGAATATAATGTTAGGATCGTTAATCACACACACGAACGTAATAGCAGGAATCAAGAGATTGAACACATTATTTAGGTGGTTCAGCTATTTGCTTAGGCTGCGTCTAGTACATGGGGCAGGAACGAGCATATCAGTACAAAAACTTGTCGTGCCAAGTGTATGACAAAAAAATACAAAAATAAAAGGTTGGTTTGACATTTAGACATGGATAGGACTTGAGTAGGACAAGAAATGATTCTTTTATGTCCCACCGAAACCTTAAGGAGATGGGACAAGATTGGTAAATTACTAAACTAACCATGTGAATGTGAAGTAAAACCCTAAGGACCGGTTTGGTTTGTGGGATTTTGGTTATAAAGTTTGAAGTAGTTATAGGGTTATGATCCAAAATGTGCAGAATGAATATCAATTATGATTCAAATGATAACGAATGGAGGGAAATAATCGAACATAAACCATTGTAATTGTGGGTTACCTTCAATCCTAGAACCAAAGGAGATGCTTTAACAAAAGCAGCAGCATCAAGAACAAACAGAGTCTCATTTAAAGAAATCTTTGCAAAGGGTTGATCGCCATGTGATACTACACCTCCGATGCTACACAAAATTGCCAGCAACCCAATAACCTGAATGCCTCTTTGTACCTAAAATCAAAAAATAAAACAGTAATCATAGTCATAAAATGATCCAAAACAGATCTTGTCTACAACCCACAGTCGACGGAATTGAAAGGGGGAAAAGAGAAGTATGGGGGTGAAAGAGAAGTAAAATCCAAAAACTAAGAGAAACCCCAAGAATTTGAACTCATTACCATTATGTTTGATCTGTAATTAGCTCTCAATTTCTCTCTCTCTCTCTATATATATATATATATACACACACACAGAGAGATAGAGGGTGACGAAGAGAGAGGTGTATACACAGCCCAAAATCAGAAAGGTCAACTCGCAGAATATATATATATATATATATATATATATATATATATATATATATATCTTGGACTTCATTTTACTTGTTAACATGAATGTGATAATAAGTTGAACACGTAGATAATTAGGCTGCGGGTCAAGTCGTCTTTATATCACTAAGACTTCTCATAAGTATTATCATATGTAATAAGGATATTTTTTATTTAATATTGAATCATATATGTAGACGACCTTAAAACCTTTGTCATGACCCATCTCGCATGACATGTCGTATGACGACGAGGTCTCTCATGTGTATTATCACGTCTGATAAAAATATTAGAAATGTTGTACGAAAATCCCCACCTATATATAATATAAATAAGCTACAGCAAATTGTGTAAAAGATAATTCAAACAAACCAAGATTAATGATTTGTGTCAGACACCATCTTGCTTTAAGCAATTGCTTATGGGTTCAATTTCAAGATTATTTAAAAAAGATGGTGTCTTGGTCAACTTTTCTAAAAAAAAGGGTCAGAATAATGTATAAAGGATTGCTTTTAGATAGCCACCTAAAATTAATCATCATTTATTTGGAGATAAATGATATAAAATTCATCATCAATTATTTAGACGCTAGTGGTATAACTGTCCGATGCAATGCAATGCAATGCAGTTGAATTACAATTTTGAAACATTAGTTTAGCCTTGAATCATGAGTTTGTGTAGTTATTTTACAAGTCAACTAATATATAAAGTTGAAGGTTAATATGATGTATTAGCAATATCGATTGAAAAAATAATTGCACACATGTTGAGTTTATAAACTCATATAAAGTTGAAGGGTTGGGATGGGGTACATGCATGATCTGAAACCTTTTCTGATATTGTTGCTTTAAATTTCAGTTTACTTCAAGAGAAAAAAGAACTTTGAATTTGGGTTCAAAATAGGAAACAAATAAAGTGTCAAACAACTTTGGGAAGAACAAACATATATTTTTCATGTAAATATGGCTTACTTAAATATGAAACTTTGACTAAACAAATGGTATGTTTTAAGCACTTGTACATTATGCATAATAGTTTATACTTAAGAGATTTTTGAATCTCTTGCATAAATTGATAATACTTTATGCTTTAAGACTTGTAATTAAGACTTTTGTCTAAATGCTTATCGATGTAGTATAGATAAATGATATTAATTTTGATTTATATCTGTGAGAATGTTCACATCCACATCTGCTAGGCTAAATAAAACAATACTCTTGGACATAAGAATGAATCACAATATAACGAAGCAAACCCAACTCAATATCGCCAGTATACGACACTTGAAATAAGATGATATCGTTATTCGGATACATTAGAATGTTAAATTGTGTGTACAACTTAACAGAATGCCGAAATTAAATAGACACTGAATCGACAATAGGTGATTTAGGATCGCTCCATGAATCATGGAGTCTCCTAGACCCAAAAATGGAACAAAATACATTGATCGATTCATTAAGACGAAAGACATCAACTTCATTTACTGCACCCCATTTGCAGACTGAAATGTGTTCATGATCCCCTAGAAATTGTGAAAGAACCGTACACTTTCCCATCCCTGCTCTTCTTGTACTCGAACAAAAGCTTCAAATGGTCAAATGCTGTAAGTTTTAGAAAACCGTAATCATAATCTCTGAATAAACTCCAGGTTGTGTTAATGGGAGCAAACTCCGTGAGACTTTGCACCTACGCCTCCAGCAACCACATGAATCGTCCCATTCAAGATCCCCGCGTAATCGTGTTTCTCATTGTTCCTGCAATTACTCTGAATCAAATTAAATTAGATTGCAAAAAATTAGACCTTTGTATCAAAGGATGCATAGTATTTGAAAGGAGAAACAAAAGATGTCATTGTTAATTTTTCGGGTCTTTAGGTATGTGAACAGGATTGGACTGGACAAGCGAGAGTGAGGTAGATGGGTGCAAAAATTGTAGAAAGTTTTAGGGATTTAAATTTACATGGGTAGTTAGTAATTTACCAAACTTGTCACGCCTATTTTGTTGGGACAAGAAAAATGCATCTTTGTCCCACTCACTCCTGTCCAGTCCCATATCACACCAAACATGGGACACCAAACTTTTGTTCTATCCTATTCTGTATTATCCCACGTATCAGACACACCGTCCAAGTCAAACCTACTAGACGTGTTCTCTACTTCTTCTAGTATATATTTGTGTGATGTAGTAATGAATGTTTATTTGGAAATCCGAAGATTTATTTATAGTTGAAGTTAAAGTTGGTCAAAATTAAGTTGAGTGATGGTATGTGTTAATTTCAATGATGATTGTTCGTGCAAGCGGCCAACATTACAGTGGTTACGGACAGATCGAGAGATAAACCATCAGTGATGATTGGGTTGATACATGCCGTTAACAATTGAACCAACCACGAACAAAAGATGGTTTATTAACTATTTCTTTTATCAAGATATATATATATATATATATATATATATATATATATATATATATCATAACCTCTTAATCATATCAATTGCATTTTTAATTCAATTTTCTGATTAAATGACCAACTTCAGATTGGAGAAATAATGGTTTCAACTGTTTATTGATATTTTAAATCAGGTGATTCAATTAAAATTAAACAAAACATAATATTTTGGCAGTATTCACGAGCAATTCAAAGATTTTCTTTTTCTACTCCATTCCGACTTCTTTTAGGTTTTTCTAGTCAAAAAACTTATACAAGATCCGAAGCTATATGAATTCATTTATTCTTTCATTATCAAAGCGTAAAACTTCCCCTCTTTACCTCGGGCAGTATTTCTTATAAACCAGTACCAAGTATCAACATGCTGTCACGATTCATGCGCAACTTCTTTATCCCGACTTGGAACATGTTGTATAAATATATGAATCAGACTGTACCATCATCATTCGATATCCAAACTAAACAAATGAAATATTCTCAAGTAGACAAGTACATACGCTGATCAAAGAGATGTCATTATAATTCAGATATTTGTTACTCGATTGCTCTTGAATCTAAGAACCAAACCAGATAAACTCAATATATCTGATAAAGTTTCAAGGATACAATGTACATAAATTTATCATGTACCCAAAACGTAGATAATAACCAACTCCCCACCAATTTCAAAGGGAGATAATAATCCAAAATAGCAAAAATCCTGAAAATAATAATAATAATAATAAAGAAAATCGAACGATTAGAGAGATGGTAAAGTGAAAAGACATGATGACCCTTGGTGATATAATCTTTCTAAAAGAACTCTAGGGGCATTTCGGGTAATAAAATGTATTTTAGAAGCATGACAAAATTATCAAAACTTTATTTATTTTATGAAAATTTATAAGAGTTAATAATATTTATAAAATTACATATCTATCCATCAATTAAATTTCATTATAAAATAAATAAGGGTATATTTGTAAAAATGACATTTTCCGTTCAAAAACATGAATTTTTTTTGTTTCCCTTTCTTTCCTTTCCTTTCACCCTCGAGAACAAAAACATAACTAAGAAAAAAATCTTTTCTTTTCTTTTATTTAAAACTCGAGAACAGAGCGATATTATTGTAAAAATCCACCAAAAAATTATTTTATACCAAATGATCTTTGGCCTAGCAATATCGTAGTCTTTGGCCTTCTAGAATGTTAGAGGTTTAAACATTACCAAAGATGAAGAGGGTGTGTAAGTTTATTTGTTGCATTTACCGTATATAATTATTATATACTTAAAAAAATATATTATAAGAACGATCAGTTTTGAATTAGAAAATATTTAATATGACTCGTTTTTTCGTTTATATTTTTATAATTTTATTTGCATTTTATTTTTATCTATTATATTATAAAAGTTTTACGATACTTTAAATTCGACAATTTTAACCACAAAGGGTAAAAACGACATTTCGTTTCATGTTACCTCCAAAACTCATCTTCGTTTGAACTTTGTGTCTCCATGTCCCATTCCAAGCGTACCCTAACCAATAAAATTCAAACCGATATATAAATATTAGAAAAATATTATAAGGGTACTCGTATAATGTAGCAAGATACATCTTGATTTTAATATTTTGTTTTATCATTTATCTCAGTCGATGCTATAATATGGTCCTATATGATTTTGAAAAAACGAAAATATTTTTATTTTTGAATAAAATATAAATTTGAAAATATCATAAATTTTTGATAAAAATATATCGATATTGGTATCAAATTTAACTACTTAAAATTTCTTGTTTTTTGTGTAATCTTTTAATTATGTTATAATTTAATGTCTGTTTAATAATTAAGTAATTTATATTTAGTTTCATAATATAATTTTTTATAAAGATAATAATTAATTATTTTGTTAAAACTCAATAATTAATCTAATTATATATATATTTTTTAAAATGAGATGTTTATCCTCAATTTGATTGTGTTTATTTGCAATTAGTTATACGAATTCAAACATAGAGCTTTAATAAGTTGTACTTACGTACAATTACTTGTAATATCGAATTTTAAGTAATATGCATCAATCAATAATACTTTATGCATAAAAAATGGTTTTTAAGAGTTTTTGTCAAATGCTTTATAATATAGTATAGATTGTCGGTTTAAATCGGCTACTCAAGATTTTTTTGACGGTTATTTGTTCTTCAGTGCTCCATAAAATTAGTCGAAATGCATGCAAGTTGATCCAAATATGCACAGTTAAAAAAACATTGAAAATAATGCCTGATGCAATAGAAGTTGTACTTACGGTGACCAAAGCAAGTAGTCGTGGAATTCCCACCACCGCGACAAATGCAAGAAAAAGATTGGGTCATACCAGCAAACCCGCAAAACCCACCACTCGCTTCACAATTCTTACACGTTTCAGTATAATATGAATCGTTATATTCCAAAGAAATACCAAATTGCCATTTCATTGGGTCGGTCTCGTCGCCACCAAACCCGTACATCGAAGCATAAGACGAGCATTGTAGCTTCGGTAGATCCAACCAGTAACCCGGCCCAAGATCAATCATGGGCTGATAAACACAACAACTAGAAATAGGCCCATTTGGTTTCAACCCAATGCCAGTAACCCCTTCACAAGAATACAACCCCCTACAAAGATGCAAGCCCGAACCCGAATCGCACAAATCCTCATCCGGGTCGAACACGGGTGACGTCCTGGAGCACCCGAGTAGAATAAAGATATCTTGCGACGATAAGGTAAACGGGCTGGCCCTATCCAGGCGAAAGCTGCCGGAATTCTGCATGGAAGAACAAGTTGACATGAAGAGATCAGTGAGGACAAGGGTGGAAGTGGTGTAATCTATGGTCGAAACGGTGTACTTTCCGGTGCCGGAGGAGAATCGGAGCTCGCCGGAGGTGCATTTTATGTACCTAGCAAAGTCTGGATGGCCACAGCCAAAGTCCGACCCGAATGGGTATTTGATGGTGAGATTTCCACATTTGTCCCTGCAGGTAGGGACAGGTGGGGGTAGATGGGATGAGGGTATTTTAGGGAGAAAGAGGAGGATGTTGAGAAGTAGCCATGGCCATGGCCATACCCATAAGCTTCTTGCAGACATTAATGGAGTTATTGAAAGAAACTTGGTGTATGCAAACAGTGGTGAAATAATTGGAAAGGAAAGGGGGAAAGTTGAGTTGGTTTCTTTTCTTTCGGTGGGTGTGAAGGTTTTTCAAGATTTCTTGAAAAGTCATACAATCGCAATCATTTGGTTTTGACCTTTTACACCACTAATTTGTTTTTATTCAAATTTGAAACTTGGTCGGATTTGGTCAGATTCGGGTTTGAAAAGTACTTACGTTTGAGTTCATACGATAATCTCGAGCTCGTTAAAAACAAAGAAAAACGACATATCTGTACAACTGCATAACCCACGAACAGTACAAGAACAGTTTCTTGAACATAAATTAACCGAACGCAAACAAAATGTATGATTTACAACTTCCATGGAACTTCAACAAGTTATACGTCATAAATTTGGATTTCTTTAAAATCCGTTATTAGTTACGGGTATCGTTCTTGTATACATTCACAAATTTCAAAATTTGAACTTTTTTCATCGAGACGTTCTTGGTTTTTGCATTTATATAGTTAATTGACGATGAAAGAACCTACACAACATCTTCTGTCCGTCTCTGAAGTTCCCTTTCTTTGAAAACCAAGAATGAAGCCCGGATTATGACTGAGAGGTGTGAGGGAAAGACAAGCAAGCCTATGATTTGTAAGAGCTTCTTCCAGAAATGGAAAGAGTGCGGGCCCGCCTTATATCCTCCAGCACCGCGGAAGCAATCATCCGGCTCATGAGGCAAATACAGATCATCCATAATATGGGTGGCTTTAAGCTGCATACGAAAACCCCACATGCACCTTTCACCCAACTTCATACAGAAATAATGTGTTTTCGTAGAGATATTAATGTTTAATAAAAATATGTGTTAAATGTAAAACAAAAAGCTGGAATAGCTCAGTTGGTTAGAGCGTGTGGCTGTTAACCACAAGGTCGGAGGTTCAACCCCTCCTTCTAGCGTTTTTATTTTTTATTTATTTTATTTTTTTATTATTTTTATTTTTATTTGCACCAAATTATATTAAATTCAACTAACTATTTTTTGTTATTTAGGAATTATATGACTTTACAAAATCGGATAAATGCATTCTTTTAATTATAAAAAATTTATTTGTAACTTCTTGTTAAAAGTAAATCAGTTTTAAAGTGTTTAAAATAAAGACATAAATCACTGAATTAATGAGGAAATACCTTAACTGAACTGTATTATCCTGACTACAACTTATTTGTGGTGGATGTTTCGGGGGATATCTGATGGTGCATTCCGGGTATTTGAATTATTGTGACAACTAACCTACGAGTTTTGGCCTTTCGTTTCACGGATTGCGATTTTAAAGGCTTCAAACATGTCTATCATCGGTAATCTCAATGACACATTCGAGTATAAATTAATATTGAGGAAAAAATGTTTTCCCCAAGTTTATAATCAGTTAAAAATTATTCACTTTAATTTGAAAGTGGTTGAATTATTGATTGCATACAAGTGCATACATGATATTTGGGACTGTTTGATAGTTGCTGAATAGTTTGGTGCAAAATGATTAAGAGGCTCTCATAATATAGTGCAAAATGAAATATAATTGTTTAGTAATTGTTTACAATAATTAGGACGCTGAATGGTTAAGAGAGGCTCAGGATGCAAAATCATTCAGAGGATTTTAGAACTATTAAGAGACAGATTTTTTTTTTAGCCAAACAAGATTTATCTCTTAACGATTCATAAACTGCATCTTAATAGAACCATTAAGAGGTAAACAATAATCAGTTTTATACGTCAAAATTGAGTTTAAAAAATTGAAATATTTATTTATTAAAAAATTATCCAATAATTTAATAACTCAAAATCCTTTAAATATTATGTTGGTAAATGTTGAAATCAGATATTTAAAAAACGTAATTACAAGAATTAAAAAGTAAAAAAGGCAAAAACAAGAAAGGGGCATTCCGAGAATTGAACTCGGGACCTCTCGCACCCTAAGCGAGAATCATACCACTAGACCAAATGCCCGATGTTGTTCTCTTATTTACTTCTATATATTTAATAACAGTTAGCATCTTAAACAACCCTACAAGTTAAAAGACCGTTTACTAAACACTTACCTGGTAAATGCTTACCGGTAAAATTTAACACTATTAATTACTTACCGGGTGAAATTTTAGTCCATCAAAACGACATTGCATGCAACAATTCACCCGGTAAGCGCTTACCGTGGTAAAAGTCGTCGCCCTCACTTACCGGATAAGACTCATGGTCCTTGTCTCGCTCTTACCGGGTAAGATTCTTAGTCCTTACCATATTCATCCGATGAGGTAATCTGACTTGGTAAACGCTTACCCAGGTAAGTGTTTGGTAAACGGCTCCTAAATGTTTGTTTTGAAAACTTTGTCTACAACATCGAAATGGAGCTTTTAAAAAAGAGTTCTCTTAAAATAAGAATAGAATTCCCTCATATTTCATAACAGAAGTCACACGATTTTACTTCTAAAAGGACGATCGTATGAGAAAAAAAGTTAAACGTGAGAAACGTACCACCCTTATTGCTTTTAATCTCATTTCCAACCATGAATTGTACTTTACAAGGGAATTGATACAATACATCTCATTAATGTTGATCTTCAATTAAGATTGATCCAAGGATAGAAAAGCCTTCTCACCGTAACTTCTCTTTTCACACGGTTACTTCTATTTTTTATCCTTAAAGGCTAAATGTAAAAAATAGCAAGCAACCAATAATTTCTATTTCAAAATTTTGGCATATTCTTTGTGAAAACAATATCTAAACAAGTACAAAACAAAACAGTCCCAAATGAAAATGCAACCAAATCTGTGTGCTCTTTGGATCTATTAATCATATATTTGATTCAAAGTAACAAAATCATGCTTCCAAGTTCCTTCTTCCTTCCACATCTTTCAAATAGTTTCCCAGCAGCCTTTGATCCAACACCATACTTGGTATCTGCATACCAGACCCACAAAATAACAACACTAAGTGACGTTTATCAAACGCTTACCCAGGTAAGTGCTTATCAAGTCACATTACCTTATCGGATGAATATTGTAAGAACCAAAAATCTTACCTAGTAAGAGGGAGACAAGGACCGAGAGTCTTACCCAGTAAGTGAGGGCAACGACTCTTACCATGGTAAGCGCTTACCGGGTAAATTGTTGCATACGATGACGTATTGGTGGACTAAAGTCTTATCCGGTAAGTAAGTGGCAGTGTTAAATTTTACCGGTAAGTGCTTACCGGGTAAGTCAGTAAGTGTTTGGTAAACGGCCCCTAAATCTCTATATTTTCATCATAACTCTCTCTCTCCCCCTCTATATCGGAATGTAGGAGAACAACCTTCTGACATATGTTTTTTAAACGCATGATCGTAGATTTAAGCACACAAGAATGCCTCAAAATCTGTCTGAAGGTCATGCATTTAGGAAAGTTATTCTCCTAAATAACCCCTATACATCTCAGTTGTTTTCTCATTTCCACCAAATTTCTTTGCTTTCAATGGCTGTATTCAATATTTAAGAGAAAAAAGAAGAATATTTGACCTTGTTTCCGAAGAACATTTTGGAGTTATTAGCGATTGCCTCAATAAATTTAAGCTCCAGAAATTCGGGTGTGAGCTTCAACTTATTTGCTTCAGCCTCTTTCATGGTCCTGGATGGGATCCAAAACATAAGTGTGTATCAGTTCCTTCCTGCTAACTTAAAACCTTTTTATATACGAGGGATGAATAAGAGAACTCACTGGTAGTATTTGGCATCCGCCAAGCTCTTTTCTCGAGCCACGTACATTGCATTAGAAATTTCTTCTTGCATCCGCGAACTGTCTTTTTCCATCAATTTCTGTTCCATAATGATCTTGCTAACATGGGCATTCTTCTCCGCTTCCGTAATAGCTATCTTCTTTTGTGTCTCTGCCTCTTTCTCCGCAACTCTCTGCCTTTCTACTGATACCAATACCTATATTCGAGACGGTAAATGCCCTTCCTACATATACTGCTAAATTTCCAGTTTCTAACATCCCATGAATGAAAACTACAATGTTACTAATTTTACCCCATCGTGATCTTTACAAGTTTTTTTGATGATATTAATCCATTCACAAGATTTTCCTTGATTTGTTAGTTTTCAAGGATTTTTTAGACTTTTTAACAAATAATACAAACGACCCATGAAATCCCATTTGAAAGTAGGGACTTAGGAGGGCGAGATGTACACAAACCTGACCTCTACCCCCAAAGCGGCTATGAAGACCCCTCCCCCCCCCCCCCCCAAGGGGTGCCTTGTGCAAGAGTGCGAGGAAAAGGTGGAAAGAATAAAGACTAAGAAGCATGAAAGCTTTATTATAATACTATGTGGTAAGTCAAATATTGTGATCGTTATCAGACTATGAGAGTAACGGGAAGAGTAACGGGATGAAGTGATTCTTTCTAAAATGATGGAGAAGTGAGAGACGGGAAATGTGCATGAACAAGTGCCATCTAGTAATGAACTTGCCATTTTAAGGGAAAAACTTGAAGAGAAGAGCGTCATAATTTTTTTACATAAGAGAATAGAGATGCACCTTCGTGCGTTCTTCTTCCATCTGTTCAAAATTTCGCCTTACACTCTCTGGGATTCTAGGCTTTGTGACACGTACGCTGAGAATTTCAATGCCTGGTGCATAACGAGTGCAATCAGCTTGAAGAGCATCTTTCATTGTTTCATCAATCTGAAATTTCACATTTTGCGCTTTATATATGCAAACACTTGCATCAATGATAGACCAAAGGAAAGTAGAGGAAGCCTAAGAAACTAATATTATTATAAAAGGGTTTACTCGGAATACAATTTCCATCACATTGCATGTATATCAAATAAAAATATGCTTCTCCAAAGATCAAACCTATCCAAACGTATCCGGTATCTCCCACTCAAAAGTAGGGTCCAAGGGTTAGGATGAATGCAGAACTTTCCTCTACTCCAAGGGGTGGAGAGGCCATTTCCCTGAAAACCCCCGGAATGAAAGCTGCTGTTTCAACGGCAAATTGTCCAAAACAGCCAATCA